AGTAGAGGGCTTGAGCTCTGGATCGTCAGGAAGTATAAGGGCAGTAAGAAGAAACGGCTTGAGGAGGGTGTTGTATTTGTAAGGGTGAAAGGCCGCCCAAATTCAAATTCTGGGTGAAGTAGAGTCTAATGCAAACCAAGACATCAAAGTTAGAGGGTGTATGGGGTGGGGTCAGATTGGGGGGAGAGGGTAAAGGAAAAATAGAGATATAAGGGGTGAGAGAAAAAATATCGTGGACACTAAGGTGAGCAAGGGCTCAAGTATCCTTGAGTATGTGGTTCGGGTAGTGGTGTGAGTTTTGAGTGTTTTGGCTATCTCATATGTATTTTTTATTTTTATCATAAGTTCTCTCTTTCGTGAATGTAAACAATTGGTACTGAACCACATAAATTTGAGTATGATTGTTTTTTTTCCTTTGGTGTTGAGAGGGTGATTTATGCTCCGGTGTTGGGCCGAGGTATAGACAGAACAAGTTGAGGGCCCAGCAGAGCATTGGGCCGAGATGATCGACTGTTCACCCGGAGGTGGGCCACCAGAAGTTGGGCCGGGCAGAGTTTGGTCTGTGTGCTGCCCCGGACCGTGCAGAAGCTGCTCGGCCAGGAAGTGACCGGACAGGCTAGGATGCTCGGTCCGAGGATTGTCGAGACCAGACAGACCGAGAGGCCGGCGCTCGGAAAGGCGCGGTCAGCCGAGGTAGTTGACTGACCGGCGAGAAGGCCGACCAAAGGAGGAGCCCGGGCTAAGCTCTGCTGGGATGCCGCCTAGCCCGGTCCTTCATTCGGTTATCTGGTTAGGCGCTTAAGGTATGAAGCATGGTATGACCGAGGTAGGGCAGCTCGGCTGCCGAGCTCCAGCTATGCTGACAGGCAGTTGAGAGCAGGTGATGAACGGCATGGTTTATGCTGACAGATGGGATAGCAGAGCCACGTGTCAGGAGATGACAGGGAGTGGATATGGGGCTCAGAAGGTATATAAGCATGTCTACAAGGCGTATCTAACAAGCTACACAGAATGACACTCCGGCAAGGGGTGACATCGGCTAACCAAAGACTTCGGTGACTAAGGTGACAATGACCTCGGCTAGGAAGGACAACGCTTGACTAAGCTGTGCCACCTCTTGGCCTAGATGCGCCACACCTCGGCCTAGGTCATACCACTTCCAGGACGAGATCACTTGGGTGCAAGGTAACATCTCGGCTAATGTGGTCAAGGCAAGGACTGAGGTCGACAAGGGGTTCCAAGGTACTATTACTAGACCAAGGATGACCTCGGCATTGGAATAACATCGGCTAGTATAACTCAGGCAAGGCGTAACCTAAGTTTCACATCAAGGAAGGAATAAGACAAGCATACTACACTTAGACAAATCACAAGGCTTCGAAACAAGGCATGGATCACATTAACTCAAACGAAACAAATCACAACACACACATGCAACTTAACAAATCATAATCACACAGATGCTCATGAACATGATGAGAACATAAAATGTGGGTTCCTACACCGGCGGAGGAGAGATTCGCACGCCAGGCGACTGGAAAGCAAGTTGAGGGATCAAGATGCTGTCATCCGGCGAATGGCGGCGGAGATGGAAGATCTCAATTGGCGGACAGTCAGGAGACGCGCGGAAGGAGTCATGGTCATTCACGGAGTCTAGATGGTCACCGGCGGAGGAGAGACTCGCACGCCAGGCGACTGGAAAACAAGTTAAGGGACCAAGACGCTGTCATCAGGCGGATGGCGGCGGAGATGGAGGATCTTAAGCGGCATGTCAAAGGGAAAGGTGTAGCTGGAGTGGGAGACCACAGTGAGCGCACCCCATCCCGCCGGTCAGGCGATCAGAGTCAGCGACGTACTCAGTCCATTTCCATCACCAGAAGTTTCCAGGTTGGTGATTCCGACGTGCATGCAGAAAAGTCTAGCGCACAAGACAGCACCTACAAACCCTCACGTCCGGCGATGACGTCGATGTACTCATACTCCGCTCAGTCAGAGGATTTACGGGCGCTCTTAAAGGAGCGGGCCCGCCGGCGCGAAGCACAGAGGATACCTGCTTTCCAACGGTTATCCTATGGTAAAGGAGCGGCCCCGCCGGCGTGAAGCCCAGAGAATACCAGCTTTCCAGCGACTATCTTACGGGGTTCACGCCAGCGAAGAGGTCGGAATGCCTCCGCCCCACCAAGCAGTGCCACTCCTTGAAGATATGGACTTGGCCAGGCTGACTGCCACTCCTTTTTCCCTGGAAATTGAAACAACACCACTTCCGGCAGGCTTCCACCAGCCTAAGTTCACACTTTATGATGGAAAAACCGATCCATACATGCATGTGAGTCACTTCCGACAGGTTATGGCCGGATATAGGCGCAATGACGGACTTATGTGCCTAATCTTCCCGTCAAGTTTGGGTGAGCTAGGCTTAAAGTGGTTCGAGCGGTTGCCTGAAGGGAGCATACAAAGGTGGCATCAGTTGGCCGAGGCATTTGTTACACGCTTCAAAACTAACACAAAAACACCAAAGGAAGTCGATCACTTGTTAAGTGTCAAGATGGAACCGTGCGACACACTGAAGGTATACAACTCAAGGTATTGGGAAACCTTCAACGAGATCTTAGACTGCCTGGTCAACCTTGCAATCACGCAGTATAAGCGCGGTCTCCCAGTCGGACATAGACTGCGGGACTCGCTCACCATGCACCAGCCGATCTCCATGGGCCAGCTCATGCAGCGCATCAATGAGCACATCCGTGTGGAGGATGACGCGTCGGCTTCCACCATGAAAGCCAGTCTGGTCGTAACAGACAAGAAGACAGCAGGCAAAGTGCATGCAGTTGGGAAAGAGTCCAGCCGCTCAAGTGACCGAGCAGAGGAACCAGACCGGGGTTCCAATCGTAAAAACCGGGGTAGAGGACGTCGGAATGACCGGAATGACTACCCCCGGGATGACGTAAAGGACGCAAACAGAAGAATGAAGGCGAGGACTGGCATAACCACGGTCTTCAAGATTCCAATCTATCGCATACTTAGTGAAATTCGAGACAAGGAGTATGTCCGGTTTCCTGCTAAGTTGGGCGATGGACAAAAGGGCTACAATCCGCAGTATCGTTGCACGTTCCACCGGGAGAAAGGCCACCGGACTGAGGATTGTTTGCCTTTGCGACAACACTTGGAAGAACTGGTTGCGGCCGGGCATCTGGACCTTTACATTGATGGCGGCGTGAAACCGAATCAGGCTCCGGTCGATCCCAGGGGACAGGATGACCGAGATGCACCACCACAAGGAGTTATTAATGTCATCCACGGCATCGTGGAACTGGAGCGTTTTGCGAACTCCGGGACATGATCAAGAAGGCAGAGCATATGAGGGAAGTTTTGTCGGTACAGTCTGCCATCAAAAGGGGGAAGACAGAAGAGAAAGACGTGATTAGTTTCACCTCAAGGGATTTAGAGCGTATCCAGACGCCGCACAACGATGCTCTTGTAGTAACACTACGCGTCAAAGAATTTGATGTTAGACGGATCTTGATCGATCAGGGAAGCTCGGTCGAGATCATGTATTATGATGCGTTCAAACAGCTCAAACTCCGTGAGACAGACTTGGCTCCGGCTACTTCGCCATTGGTTGGATTCAACTCGGAACCGGAGTGGCCTTTGGGAAAGATAATCCTGTCTGTCAAAGCGGGATCCGTGGTCAAGCAAGTTGAGTTTTGGGTGCTGCAAGTGCTTTCGACGTACAACCTTATCCTTGGAAGGGGATGGCTACATGCCATGCAAGCTGTGGCATCAACTTTTCACCAAGTAATGAGATTCCCCTCGGCTATGGGGGCAATCGAGGAGATTTGGGGCGATCAGGTCATGTCCAAACAGTGCTTCGTGGCGGTCAACGGAAGCCGGGCTGCCAAAGGATTCGTTCAAATGATTGAGGGACCGGAGGACCAGGGTGTCTTGGATGATGTCACAGCTAATTTCCACTGCATCAACAAGCCACTGTTTTTTTATACTTCCTTCAACATGTTGCAGAGCTGCTACAACTTCTACCAGAACATCCCAAATACCTGCAAAGATAAAAAGTCAAGATGTACTCTGAAAGTGAAGTTTTCGGCTATAAAGGAATGAAACACAATAATGCTCCTTTTAACTCGGTGAAGAAATAAAATTTGAAGATTCCAGTTTCAGAATTTACTGATTATTAAATATAGTTTCCCTAAATTACAGCTAGTTTACAATTCTGTGAAAAACTAACCATCTGATCTAGTGTTCAATAGATAGGCTTTCAGTTTTCCCAGCTCACTCGGTGGGATGGAACCAATCTGAACTAGCTTGGCCTTTGCTTGCATTGTTTTCACTACCTTGGAGAATTCACCATCTCCTTCCACTAAATTTGCTTCTGAAACCTGTACAGGGCATGCAGTAGTTAAAGTTACTGAACTAGCAGAAAGCTCAAAAGCTATGGTGTGTACAATATATAGGGAACAATGAAATTCATTTCCTGTAGAAACACATCATGCCCAGCAACAACTCAATCTTGCTTTTCCATGCGCAGCCCATAGGCAACGTAAAATACCCAATGGCAGTGCATGACTTGGTGAAACTAAGACCAGGGCTGAAACTGACCAATTCAAGCTGGTTGATTTGGTTTTACTGTGCTTACTGGTTATGCTTCCCAGATTTGAAGAACACAGATGACATCAGATACCAGGTTGATTTTGAAAGATTCAGCTTGGGCCTTATTCGCCTTGATTTTGAAAGATTTACATCGCTCTCCCTCTACCTTCAGTGTAAGATTCACCCTAGGCCTCTATTTAATTAAGCCTACTAACAGGTAATAAACAGACTCATGAGGCCAGCCCCATTAAGCAGCCATTATTTTTTAACCTATTGATAATGTTGTACTTCAAGTATATGATTAATAAAATATAATAATTCAGTCCAAGGTTCAATTTTCTGGAACCGACTTGGGTGGGCTCCTTCTGGGGCTTTGGTACGGACCACAACCAACCAACCCAACCTGTGTGCACCCCTATACCCACCAACCAATTTGTAAGAGAACTATTCCACTAAAACACAGGAGAATATGATATTTTTAAGATGTCTATCAGAGAGAGAGAGAGAGAGAGAGAGAGAGAGAGAGAGAGAGTTGCAAATCATGTGAAGACATCAGATTTCTGAAGGACATCATCCTTTTGAATGAGTAAATTTAAATCACAAATTTAGAAAAAAAATAATATCCATGCAACAAATATAATCACAGTTGTGAATACCTGTAGAAGGGTAAATAACCAACCCTGTCGAGCCTTCGCAAGACATCTAACTGCTGCAGACCACTCTACTGAATGCAGCTGCTCCATCCGTGGAATAGCATCTGAGTGCAATACAGGCAATGAAAAAAAGAGGACCTCCATGCAATTTTCCATGTTTGATACATACTCTCGAGTGTCAAGAGAAGTTTCCATACAAGGATACAGACCATTCCAGCACGAAGCCCGCAATAAGCTTTTCTGTTCTACGGTACAAACTTCTCCAGAGAGTAAAGAAGCTATAAAGTTAGCCACGTCATCAAATAGTTTCTCAAGCCTAGAACCCGAGAATATTTTTATCAGGTCTGCCAGATGAGAGAGAAACCATGATTGAAGATTCAGCTCAAGTGTCCTGAACCTGGACAGGTCAGACAGCTCATCAAGAAAGCTTAGGAGTGGATCAAATTGGTTTGCATGAGCTAAAGACAACTGCAGGCATTCCTCCCTAAGGATTCCACTTTTACAAGCTAAATCTGGAGACAATGACTCGGCAATTTGACCCTCATATTTCATGCACCGTCTGATGATTGCTCCCCAATCCAATGCTGGCAGTCTGGGAGCTTGTGAAAGGCAACGTAAAACAGTTGCAACTGTGTAAACATGTGAAATGGTACCTGCCTGAATTTTATAAAGTAAAATAGAAAAAACAGAAAAGATTAGAAAGGAAAGATTTGTATGCATCCACCACAGGCATGGGGGGGTGACACAGAATTTTAATTGAATACTCTGCATAAGAAGTGAAAAGGAAAATAGTTTTCTGATTGATAGTTGAATCAGTGAATAATGTGATTTCCTTAAAAGAACCAGCAATCTTGAATCATCTCTTTATGTTTATGGAGGAGCAGCATATCCACAAATAAATTACCCAAAACTAAGTCAATATATGGACATTCACATCTACATCATGAATACTAGTCAGCTTAAATAGGTTACATAAGTAAATCATCTTTCCACATAAGTCAATATAAACCTTATAAAAGACAATTTGGCTATAGAGATATAAAAATAATAAATAAATTGTTAAAACCTATCACCTACTTCACCCACTTAAACCTACTCCACTAAACCTAACCCACTAAATCCACATACTCTCCACCTACTTCACCCACTTAAACCTACTCCACTAAACCTAACCCACTAAATCCACATACTCTCCACCTACTTCACCCACTTAAACCCTTTATACATTAAATTTCTACATGGTATCAGAGCAGGTTTAGAACCTAATATTTTCGCTTCCCCGGCGGGCGGCAACCTCACCTTAGCCGCCCGCCGGACCTCAACCTAATCTGCTTATTTTCTACACATACCTTCCCATCATTGTGTGTAGTTGCGCTTTTTTGTGGGTTTCCTTTTCTTTCTATAGACATCCCAAGCCTTTAGCTTCTGATGCTCTCATGATTCTCATCCTTTTGCAAGAGGTGATGAACATCTCCCATGGGACATCTCCAACCAGCATCCAATCACTATCTTTGTCTTCATATGTTGGTGCATATTCAGATCCATTGTACCCAATAGTGCACTTGAACATGAATTCCAAGGCCTTGAGTAGCTCAGGGTAGGTCTGGTAAACCTTGAGATCAATCTTTCTGACAAGTCGTCTGAGATCATCTTTTAATGCCAGGGACATTCCCACCGAGGAGCTCAATATGCTGCTAGATTTTGAAGTTCAGCAACAGCAGCTCCTAAATGACATGTCGTGCTTCTTGCCGACACATCTCAGAAAGTTTTTTTTATTGTGTAACTCTATTGCCAATGTGTTGATTGATACGGGTACATCCCATTCTTTTACCTTGTCTGCGGCATTGGGATTAGAAGTGGCTCAGTTAGCATCTCCATTTAGAGTAGAGTCACTAGTTGGTGATGAGGTTGTATTGGGCCAAGGGTGTCGGGGTTGTAAGATAGAGGTTGCCAGTCGCCGACTTTCCTTTTCTTTTGTATTGATTGATATGTTGAGTTTTGATGTTATACTAGGTATGAATTGGTTATCATCGTATCAGGCTATTATAAAACTGTTACCGTCAGAGGGTTAATGTATGTACCTCGAGTAGTGACTGTTTTTGTTTCTTGGGGGGGCGAAGTTGATAAAGCTTTGTTGCCAGAGCATGATCCGCGTGGTGTGGGTGAGCTTAGTTTCGTTCTTGCTACATTCTTGGGTGTTGAAAGTGATGTGGTCTGAATTGAGTTGCCAATGGTAGTTTGTGAATACCCAGACGTCTTTTCCGAGGATCTTACTAGTTTGCCACCTCACCATGAGATAGAGTTCTCTATTGATTTAGTGTATGGTACGACACCAATTTCCATGGTGTAGCTTGCTTTTTGTGCTTCTTTCAGATACGACTAGCTCTACAGTTCGGACTCGTGTGGTTTCGAATCTGATTCCACAGGTGCAATGTGAAATAGATAAACATAAATGAGTACAAATCTGATAATTCTTTTAAAAAATCGATTTTGAATCAAAATGCCAAAAATGGACTGCTTCGCCAAATTACAGAGTTGCCACCTAAATATTTTTTAAAAATTTAGAAAACCCGAGACTCGTGCCAAAGGCCACTTATCCGTCATCACCAAAGTGTCTTGGCTCGGGAACTTAGGTACGAGAGGGGAAGGTCATGAATTGAGCACCACTCTCGCTCGATCAAAAGATCGACATCTACTAATTATGATGTGATTCTTATTTACATTATATGCTCTCGTTCTGATTATTAGGCTAACTTACTATGTGTTGCACATAAGTATAGACTAATTTGCAAGAGTTAGAATACTTTGATTTCATGTGTGTTTTGAAAAGTGTTTGAATATATACCACTTGAAAAAGTGATCTCATATGTACATTAATCAAAATTCTCCCAATTTAAGCAATTAGCTTTCATCCAAAGCCATTCAAACAAATATATCACTTAAGCACTTAGCCCCATAGTAAACATACTAGATATGGCAACACTCGCACACATGCGATATGCTAAAGCAGTAAAGCTTACCCCAATTCCCGAAGTGAGCCAAAAGAGAGAAAATAGTTAGAAAAATGCATGATCCTAACTAATGAAATATGTGTAGACTCTCAATTTTTGACCGTCCTTAAGACTTGGACGTCATCGTTTGAACACTCGATGATCATCCATGCTCCCGTTTGTTTTGAGTTCCCGGAGGTCTCGGCTGCGCGCCTTGTCTGAGGATCTCTCAACTTGTCTGTTTTGTGCTTGGTTGTGGACCAAACACTTGTGTTTTTGCTTCTGAGGGAAGAGGGTGGCTTGTTGGCCACCCCCTCAACCCATCAGCCAAGGCATGATGTCGTCGGCCTTGTGTTCTTGCCATCGACCAAAAGTGTTGGCCGATCAGCACTCCTTTTGGTCGTCGGCACTTATGTTGGTCGATCGGCCATATTTTTGAGCTGAGACCTTTCCATCTGCTTTTTGTAGATATTTTCTGCTAGTTGTGATAGCTGGTATCCACAATTCACATCCTCCATACACGTGTATGGAGGGATTTGTTTCAAGACTCAAGCTTGCTCAACAAGCTTGAGAATTGGAATTCTATAAGAAGGGAGCCCCTCCTCCCTTCTCAGGGGTTCAGAAAAAAGGAGTCTTGAGAGATAGATATACATTTGCATCTATATCTCCTTGTTGATCTTTGTTTTGTGCTCTAAAGTGTCTTTTTGTCTTACTATTGCACACAAACACCTAGTAGAACACCATCCTTTGGTTGCTGAGGTCCTTAGGAGTTGGTGTAACAACCCTCACTTTACTCGAGTCATGCTTGCATATATTACATGATCTTGTCTTGATATGTTGCATTTGCAAAACCTTAATTTGTCTTGCATAAATGTTACTTCCATGCTTTGTTCCTTGCTTTGTGTGAGTTTAGCCGAGGTCATCCTAAGCCTGGGTCGAACCTTTGAATCTCTTCTACCTAGGATTATCTTGGAATCTTTTGGTTAGCCTCCACTCGCACCTTGACATATTGGCTAAGATGTCACTATCTAGGCTGAGGTATTCATCACCAAGGCCAGGCCGAGATGTTACCCTTGCACCTAGTGATCTTGTTTCTGGATTGGTATGACCTCGACCGAGGTGTGGCACATCTAGGCTGAGGTGTGGCATAGCTAAGTCAAGTGCTGTCCTTCCTTGCCGAGATCATTGAGACCTTACTTGTCGAAGCCTTGTCCTTTGCCGAGATCATTACCTGCCGGAGTGCCTATGCCATCTTGCTTGTTGAACACACTTTGTCATAGTCTTGTCTTTTCACTCAGTCATCTTTTTGAGAAGAGCCAACCAGCCAATGCCACGTGTCCCAGCAGAGGGTTAAGTCAGTGAACTGTTGAGAAATACATCATTTTGTATCATATCCTTGTCTTTTAGAGAGAGAGGCTCTAGGAAGAAGAAGGAATTCTTAGAAAGGGAATAGATTTCCAAGCTTGATCTTCACACCTTGAGCCGTTAGATTCATGTCTTGAGGTTAGAATCTTGATCTGCTCTTGTTGTTCTTATTGTTCATCTACCTACATTGCGTGATCGAGCACGATTTGTAAGCCATGCATTGATTTAAAGTTTGGTTTTAGAAAGAAAAAGTGATATTCATGTGTTCTTGGATAAAAGCCTTGTTTGATCCGAAAGTTTGCATCAAGATTCATATTTTGTGTTTGTTTTCATAAAATCTTCGAGTATGGGTACCCATGTCCATGTTTTTGAATTCATAGCATGAAATATCAGATTTTGTAATGATAAGTTATGATCTTTGCATCCATGTTCTTCATGTTCTTCAAGAAAGGGGAACCCAGATTTTCCCGACTTTATTTCCTTGAATGTGGCCATCAGGGTCACACCATGGCAAGGAGGTGTGGGACCTCGGCCAAGACCTGGTTGGTGCCCAGCAAGTTTTTCCCCGAGATGAGAAACAGTGTTTTGTCTCGGTTCGACTTAGTTTTGAAGGAATGCTGAGATCATTTGCATTCATGTAAAGCTTGTTTGAAAGTGCATTCCATAGACCTTGCCATGTGTTTGTAGGACTTGGACTCTCGCTTGACCCCGACGTTTGAAGAACTATGTGAGTGGTATTTTTAATAAAGTTATGTTATAAAGTTTTGATAAAGCTTTGCTTTGCTTTGTTTTGGAAAAGTATTTGTTAAGCATGAATGATTATCCTTATTTTGTGTATCAAGTGTTAGCCTTGTTTTGGATGACAACCTTTGAAAGTCCATACGTGCTAGGGGACTATAAGCATTTGTATCACAACCTTTGAAAGTCCGTACGTGCTAGGGGACTATAAGCATTTGTAGCACAAGTCCTTACGTGCTAGAGGACTCTAAGCTTTTGTAGCACCTTTGTTAATGTCATCCCTTGAAACTTGAAAGCCTTGAAAGACTTTGATTGATGAAGCTTGAAAGACTTGTTAGATGAACTTGTTTTGTCTTTGATTTTGTGCAAGATAATGTGTATCGTTTTGATAAAGATCTCGGATATTATTCATGCAAACCCTTTATTACTTGTACCATTCACTGAGTATCCAAGCTCACCCTCTCTATATATATGTAGGTGATGAGTAAGACGGCGGTGACGCCTAGATGTGCTTTGCAACTTGTTTTGGACTCGCATTTTGTAGCATCTTGAAGATCATGCTTCTTAGCTTATAATTCATTGTGTTTTGTATATGATGGCTTGAGAAGCCTTTTGGTCAAGATGTATTTTGTATTTCATTTTATTATATCCAAGTTATAAGACCTTGATAAGATGTATGACATTCCATTCGATCTATGCACAGCTCTTATGCACTAATTAGATTTAAATTTATTACTTCCGCATACGTTAGCCCCATATGTATACTCTGATTGTGTGTAAATCCTTGTAAGTTGGCCTTTGGTAATCTCGGATTACTGGCCATCATGGCACCATTCTAATAGAGGCGGAATGGGGTCGTGACAGTTGGTTTCAGAGTTCTTAGAGTGGTTTTGATCAGAGAAAGGTGTTGGAGCTTTGTTCTTGAAGGTGTTTTTCAAGGGTGAGCAACTAACCTTTTGATACCCCATTCTTGCTTAAGCTTTTAGACCTATTTGCATATTGTTTTAAGTTTAATTCTAAACTGATAAAAGTTCTGATTTTGCATGCTTGAGACCTTTATTTAAGGTTACTTTTTGGTTTGGGGTTGTTTACCCCTACTTAGGCCTCGTTTGGCCTTGCTTTTGTGCCTTCTTTATGAGCTTCGGGATCACCTTGTTTTGGCCTTCTCACCACTGAAATCTAAAGGGATTGTATTTTAAGGTCCCCAAAAGGAGAGGGTTATCCCCTCTCCTTGTGTCTTCAATACTTGCCTTGAATGCCTCATGTGTGAGCATGTTTGTTAGGCTTGTTTTAGCTTGTATATTAGCATGTATTCGTGGTTATTTTGCTGAGGTTTACAACTGTTTTTTCTTAGATTGATCACTCCATGCATGGTTTCTACACTTGTAGTGTAAATCACACACACTAGTCTTGTATGCTTCATGAAGTAGCATGTCATTCTAACCTATGTTGTGCCATTTTCAGCATGTATTTGGTGTTGTCTTACCATGTCATACCTCTATTTAGGTTTGGTTTGGTTAGCCTTTGCATGTCTCATGCACTTGTAGTGCAATCCTCTTTATTACCTTAACATGCTTTGTGCTTTGAGCCATGTTTTTTAGCATGATTTTGGCTTGACCTAAAGAAGCTTTTAGCCTTGTTTTATCATGCTTAAGGTCTGTTTGGTGTTGTTTTGGTCATGCTTGCATTGTTTTGTATAGCCATGGTTCAGCCTAGCTTGTTAGCTTTGAGTGTCCAAGTCATTAGCATGCATTGCTAGGACTATTCTTATGATTTGACATCATT